CTGGCTCCTCCCACCCGTCCTGCCTCCCGCAGCTGAGCTGAGAAGGCCAGGCCTGCTCAAGGGCGCTCACAGCAGTCACCAGTGTGATTTGTCCCCACCAGGACGACCACCGTGAGGAATGACTGCCCTTTGGCAAGGGAATTCCCTCCTGCTGAACAACAGCAACAAGGAGCCAGGCAGGGGACACACGCCTGCAGGCCCCGCACGGGAGGCTGAGGCAGGACAATCCCTTGGAGGAAGGCCAGCCTGGGCTACAGAGCCGGCCTTGTCTCAAGACACCATAAAGAAGTAAAACAAATCAAGCCAGGGTCACCTCAGCTGGCGGTGCCAAGGCCAAACTCGGAGCCCTGGAGCGAACCCAGGGAGGCGGCGGGCTTCGACCGGCCACCCAGGCCTCGCCCAGGCCTCGAACTCGCTGCCTCAGAAACCTCGGAGACGGTGGTTTCTGATGAGGCGCCACCGCGAGCAGCGCCACGGACCCCGCCGAGCGCCTGGTCAGGCCATTCATCCACAGCCAGGGAGACACCAATGCGTGACCGGGAAACACCGCAGAGGTCTTCTTGAAAGTGACGGTGGAGCATGCGCCAGTGTATCCGAGCCACTCGGCTGTCTAAACAGGCCGGGCATGGCCGATCTGCTTTAGGCCGCTTTCACAGCAGCTCAGAGGCAAAACCTAGGACAGCATCTACAGTTTCTGAAACAGTTTTGCAGTGCTCAACACAAAGGCCAGGACTGGGGTGCAGCCTGGAGGTAGCGCACATGTTGAGTGTGCAAGAGGCCCTGGGTTCGAGCCAGGGCATCCGAAAAAGAAATCAGAAAGCCAGAGAACTTCGTGGGAAGATGACAGATTTTAAAGAAGAGATTTTAAGATGGATGTGGGGATGCAGGCCTGTCATCCCGGCTCTCTGGGAGGCTGAGGTAGGAGGATCGCAAGTTCTAGACAAGCCTGGGGGACTTAGCAACATAACGAGACCCTGTTTCAAAAATTTAAATTAAGAAATAAAAAAAGCTCCATGCCTCCCCCAAAAGAGATTTTAGTTCTATGATCATTTAAGACAACAAGGCTTTCTTCACCCATGAAACGGAGCCCTGCTTGCTGAGTGTGCTGCACTGGGAAAGCTCTCTGGGGTCTGAACAGTCCGACACACTCACGCGCAACGTGCAGATGTGCAGAAGTGAGAACACCAGTAATCCCGGCCCTGGGGAGCCTGAGGCAGGAGGAACTCAGTTCAAACCCAACCAGGCAACTTATCCCTTAGCGCATTCGAGTCTGAAATTAAAAATCCAAAGGGCTGGGGATGTAGCTCCATGACAAGCCCCGGGTTCCATCCCAGTACAAAAAAAACAAACCAAAACTTGTTTTAGAGACTAAAGTCACTGGCCCCGAACCTGGGGGTTTCAGGCGCTCTTGTGAACACTGTGCTGAACACTAGCCAGCCAGTCTACACTTCGAGTCCACCGCAGGCCTCAACTCCCCAGGCAGAGGCGCGGCCGGGTGGCCCCTGGGCTGGACACTGAGGTCCTGGAGAGCAGTGATGCCGGTCAGGAGCAGTTCTCCAGGCTGCAGTGCACGATTTTCAGAGTTAAAGGCACAGTCAGCAGGGTTTAACCGTTACACCAACAAATACTGAGCTTTTAGGGTGCACGAACATACGTAAACACTTATTTGTAGTTTTCTGAGGTAGGGTCCAACTGGCCTCAGACTCACAGCGATCCTCCCGCCTCAGCCTCCCGAGCACTGAGACCACTGGGGTGCCGCTTTCTTTCTGTGCAGATGAAATCGGGGTGTAGAGTCAGAGTCCATGGATCTCTGAGTGAATCCCACTGTGCTTCAGTCTGCAGCACGGAGCAGGACACCGGGCCAGACAGAAGTGCGGACAGCACAGCGGGGCTGGAGCCGGGCTCCCAGGGCCTTCGCTGTCCCGGCTGCTGAGCAGTCTGAGCAGAAGCGAGCACCCTGTGGCCGCCAACCAACCCTCCCGGGGATGAAGCCAACACCAAGCCAGCTCCATCGCCTGTGGGACAGGTACAGCAGCCGCACCACCGGCCCGGGCTGTTCTGGGGGACGCGAGGGCCCCGCCGAAATGGGCAGGTGCTCGTGGGGTCCAGGATTCCCGCAGGGCGTGGGGGCGCATGCCTGGTGGCTGAGGCGGGAGGATCGCTGTGAGGTCGAGGCCAGCCTGGGCTACACAGTGATTCCTCGTCTCAAAACGCCAAATGATAAAAAAAGAAAAAAAGGAAGAAAATTAAAAATCAAACTAAACAGGAAGAAAACTCATCCCAGTAGTTGTGATTCCTTGTTCCAGATGAGCGAACGCCTAACTACTCCCAGAAGGGCTGAGGGCTGGAGCCGCCCCGCCCCCCGCCCCGCGCCCCGAGCCAAGCCGGCTGCCTCCTGGGGTTCAGAGAGTGAGCGGGGTGCTCAGGGCACAGCACTGAGGGGCTCCGAGGTGCCCAGAAAGACCCGCCAGAGTGGCTCAAGTCCAGAGGCCAGGACTCAGCACCAAAGGCTGTCAGAAGCCCAGCACTGAGCCGGGTGTGGGGGCCCAGGCCTGTCATCCCTGCACTCAGGAGGCGGAGGCAGGAGGATCACTTCGAGTTCAGGGCCAGCCTGGGCTACACAGCGCGACCCTGACTCAACAAAACAAAACAAAACAAAACAAAACAAAACAAAACAAAACAAAACAAAACTGCAAAAGGAGGAGAAAAAGCAGCAGATTCTCTACACACGCTGGAGGGCCGGGCTGCACACTGGCGGTTTGGGCCTGAGCCTCGGTTTCGAGGGTTGAGCACCCCGGAGGCAGCTCGCTGTGCCCCCTCCCAAGCGCCCCATCTTCCCAACAGGAACAGGGCACAGCCGGTGACAGGCAGCCTCTCCTCTGGGACGCGCACGAGCACACACACACACACACACACACACACACACAC